AAAAGCCGAATTAAAACCAAATATTACAAGCTGTGTTTCCAATTAAAATACTTTTAAAATTATCCCTGCCTAAAATCCTCCCTAGGTCAGGCCCGCTTGCTGAAAAAGCCATGTCTTGAGGGCGCGGCGGAAAGTAAGGAGATCCGGAATCATCCGGATCTCGGGGGGTAGTTCATTCCAGAGGGTGGGGGCACCCACATGGAATCAACACTAAGCAGAAAAATGCCCAGTTCCGCTGGCATGGTTTTTTCCTTAATTTTAAGTTTCGGGGTGAGGAGGGCTGATTTAAAAGTGGTAATAGAGTGCAGAAGGCCTCTGAAAACAAATTAAAAAGCTCTCATTTCCATCCTCAATTTCTTCCATTTGAGTAAAAATGGACTCCCCCCCCCCTTGTTCCTTCTAATGGTATCATTGTCACTGGAAGGCTTCTAGAACCTCCAGGTTAAGAAGCTGGGTAGTAGGTGCCTGATCCAGAAGGAATCACCCACATTAGTAGAATTTGCATGATCTAGTCCATTACCAGTTGGACAAAATACAGAATAATGTGTATACCTCGCTACTGGATAGTGTTTAATGTAGCCTATAAAATCATCAAGAGTTGAATTTAATCAAGGTAGTCTTCGCTTTTTCTTAAAGCAAAGATGGACAACCTGCATCCCCAAACTCTTTCTGGAACTATTGGAGCATCCTATTATGCCTCATGTTACGCTTCGCTTGAAGTTGATGTAATTTCCTACAATTTTAAAGTCAGAGACCTACAAAATCTAAAATAGATTTAGCACCTTTATAATAAAAGAAAAAAATAATTAAAAAAAACAAAAAATCCCAACTGTCTGCATCATTATTTTGACCCCTAGTATTTTTGGTTCCTCCTTTGTAGCTCTCAGCTATCATGCTAAGCTTAAAGTGAGCTTCCTCTTTTTAAATATAAACACACAGATGTACATAATAGGTAGATAGGTAGACAGACAGATAGATTTAAGATACTATTTTAAGAACTTAAATGCAAAACTCTGATATTAATGAGAACATAGATAAATGTGATATTGGGCAAAAATGCTAAGAATGTTAAGAATGTTCCTTAAACTTATAATTGAAAAGTATATGCTTCCTAATTAGTTTAACTCTGCTATTAGTGAGAACAGAGAAGATATTTTCTTCTCTTTTCTGAGGAGTGTTTAAAATATTTTTCTCTCACCTTACAATTACATGGGTTGGGCTGCTTCCATGGATTTGTAACTGCCATTTTTTGTCTCATTTTTCCACCAAGGAGTGACACTAGGTCAGATCGTCAGTTTAAAAATTACACTGAAACCACAATACAAAACTACAGCCTATACATGGGGAAGACGCAGTCCACAAAATGAAAATCTTTTATTCTATACTATATGTACACATGAAACCTAGCTTCGTTTTTAAATTATTTTGCCACTGTTTATTGTTTCTACTTCTGTCTTCCAAATTAGGATTCAGCAAATTCAGTTATGCCTCTTTTTCATGCACAGTCCTCTTTTCCAGGGCAAGGAACTACCAACTCTGAAGGACATTGATTTCCTAAACATGAACCAGAAAGTGTACATCAGTGAAGAGGCCAAAAAAGACTTCATGGAGAAGTTGAAGCGAGATGTAGAGGTATTGTAGCTTTCTCAACCTGATCTAGTGTAACAAGAGAGATGGTTCTGGGTCAGTAATCTAACTGGGCAAGCTGTGGATGCTAAAGGTAAAGTGGGCAATATTTCATGGTTCAGTTGAGTTTGAGAAGGTGTTACTAATGGTAACCCACCCTACTGTTCTGATTCCCATCTTAATACTTTTTAAGGTCAAAAGTTACCATTTTCTCTCTAGTATCTGCCAACAAGTCAACTCCTTCCACCTTGCTCCCTATCTCTAAATAACATCTAATGTTGTGCTGGTGGTATGAGAGCATCTGCAGCATTCCTGACCAGAGGCACCTAGGGCAGGGGTGTCAAACTGGTGGCCCGCGGACCGGATGCGTCATGCCCACTCCAATTCTGCAAAAGCAAAAAAAGGTCATGATACGTCACATGATGTGATTGAGTTTGACACGTGTGACCTAGGGCTTCTGGGGGAAAAATAAGCGTTTCTTCCCTGGTTGTTGTGCAGGCTCTGGGGTGTTGCTTGATAAAGAAATACGGGAAAACAGAAGTTGCCTTAAAGGTTTACATTTTTATTCAGCTGAATAAAGACAGGACCCTATAAAAGAAAGAAGCCCTGAATGACATAAAATCCCTATATTTATACTTTTTGATTCCATAAGCAATCCACCCAGCAAAGCTGACACATATGAGATAAAGACTTCGCCCAGAAAGTCTGGCACACCATAGATAAAAAGGGAGAAACCAGAAGTAGCTAAAAATGTTCCTTTTGGGTGTTTCTCTAAAGACACTGTATGTTCTCGGGTGGGTTAGGACAGGGGTCCCCAACCCCCGGTTTGTGGACCGGTACCAGGCCGTGGCATGCCAGCAACCGGTCCACACAGACAAAGCCCCATCCGTGGGATGCAGGCAGCACACAAAACCACACACCCTCCGATCCGCGGAAAAACCTCTCTCCACAGAACCGGTCCCTGGTGCCCAAAAAGTTGGGGACCTCTGGGTTAGGACATGGGATATTTTCCTTTCATGATCCTACATCCATGACTCTGCAAGTGCCCAAAGACAGTGGGGCCATCTGCACATATTCACAATTCATACTTTCTATGTTTTCCCCTAATTCTGGGTCAACATGGTCAATATTCCTCCTCTGGATTTGAGGCTGAAAAAGCCATAGTACTGGAATGCCATCTGTCTGATGCCAGAATGGTTCCTACATCATGGACTGAATATGAGTCTTGCTCTTGTCCCCAATTCTACCTTGCATTTGTGGCTACTGCTTCCTTCCCTGTTTCCCACGCTTGAGCCATTGAAATTGCCATCTTCCTATTGCAAGTTTCCTCGGATGGATTTGACTGAGTTTTTGTACAGTTTCTCATAACTGATAATCTGCTCCTTTAAACTAACAGGCAGTCCAGCAACATAAACAGGAAATGTCCTTAAAAGGATAAAATATTCTCAGTACAAATATTTGCAGGCAGAACCTTTGCTGACAAGTCATCAAGTCTTAGGCTTTGAAAAATTAAAGCGGCAGTAAGGTCCTCCTCAATCTTTCATGAAAAATTGTATGGTTTCAGAGTATCGGCTCTTGCTTCTGAAGAACCAGAAACTGTTCCTAAGCAGGCTTGATTATCCCTGAACTTCAATCTTCTGAGGTTCCAGGTTGGCTCTGGAAGGCAAAGGGGTAGGGCGTTTTGAGAAAAGGAACAAAGGCCATTCAGTAACTATATTCAGTGTGCTCCAGGCAACCCTGAAGATCATTGATAAAGTATATATGATTTCTTCCTCTGGATATTTTCCCCTATATTATTTGCATATGGCAAAAGGTATGGGTTCCCAGGATATTTCTAGAATGGTACAACATTCTTATCTCAGGAGGATTACATAGCAGCAAATCACTTTCCCTCCATTCTTTCATAAGCTAATTTGGGAATTTTTGAAGGTTGCCTCCTAGCATCTGAATTTTCCAGTCATCTAACATTGGATGAAGATTACATCAGCCCTGCCAAAGACGACATGTTAGAGAAGGGTGCGTCACAGTCTATGTAGATGTAGTTGATTTGAATGACAGGATACAATTGTGTTGAGAATCAGGGAAGTCTGTGTGCATAATGTTTATTGGGTGGCATTTCTGTCATTATAAAGGCACACTCTTCTCACAAAAACCATTTTTCAACATGTGAACTTATAATGACATAAATGTATAGAAAGAGCTTCAAACAAAATGTAATGCCGAAAAGGAGAAAAGCAGTTCGAAGCATTTAACTGGCCCCAGATTAATGGCAGGAAGGGTTGTTTCCATGGCAGAAAGAGAAGAAATCTAAGCTTCCCATGAGAATTAAAGTTCACAGCAACTGTTATGTACTCAGGTATTTATTCATTGTTTTCTTATTTCCATTTCCTTGTTTTGCTTTTTATTCTTTTCGGGCTTCTGGTATGGCAACTGCAAATATTTGTTCTGTGTTTATAACTTTGAGGGACAAATTCTCTTGTGAAAGAATTGTGCTTCAGCTATCTGATGGAGGTCTCAGATCCTGATTTTTCTGAATTGCTGGTCAACATTTGCACCCCATTTGCCATAATGAGGTGAGAATTGAGGTTAACTTCCAGCTCAGGAAAAATTTGCTCACAGTTAGCATTTTGTCAGCTATTATATTTCCTAAGGGATTGAATCTGCAGAATTTAAACTACTTCTGCAGTGTGAGATTTTCCCTATTGGCCTTAATGACTGTTAATAGCATGTGGTGGGGGGGGAAGGGCTGCAGATGCTCAGTGTCTAACTATTAACCTCATATACCATGCAGCCTTTTTCCCGCATCAGCTCTGTTTCTCTTAAATGTTCCAATTCTTCTTGCTCCAAGTTCAGTTTTACTGCTGACCCAAATCAGGGAACTGGTAGGCAACAGGCTTCTTGAGTTTTAAAAAAACATGATGCTTTGGATGTGACAATGGAAGTCAGTTGGTGTCAGCCCCTAGGAACAAGCAAGCTGAAATCTCCTGCTGATTTTCTAAATGGAAATATCTGCATGTCCTGCAGCCTCATGAACAAACACATTAAATTTTTCCAGTGGAGTTGTAGGAGATGACCAGGCTGAGCTCAAGGGAGGATTCAAACATGTCATCATTCTGTTGACTCTTATCTACCACCAACTAGCTCTGACCATTAGTAGTTCAGATTCTGGTAGACAGCTTTACTTACAATAAACCTAAATATTTATTTGAACTGTCTGGAACTCCTGATTCCCGTGTTTGATAGGAGTTGGCCAAACAAGGACAGGTTTTGTTTCTGTATTATATTTCTGTTAACGCTTGCTGTCTGGTTCTCCACAAATGGTGAGGTTAGATTTAGGATTTTTCACTGCTTTCTGGATAGGTAATTTCAGACGAAATGTGCTTTAAATTTATTTATTTATTATATTTTTATCCCACCTTTATTACTTTATAAATAACTCAAGGTGGCAAACATACATAATACTCCTTCCTCCTCCTATCAACTGGGAGACAAACTCTGCAGCGAGTGGGAGAGGGAACTAGAAGTAAAGCTATACTGGACCTAATTCTTACTAATAGAGAAGAAGTGATAGAGGAAGTTGCTGGAACCTTGGGTAAAAGTGACCACATCATGCTGAAATTCAATATAATGCAAACCCAAGCAGTAGAAAATAATCCAACCAGTGTCTTAACCTTCAAAAGAGCTGATTTTAACAAACTCAGGAAAGATTCCATGGACGAAAATCCTAAAGGGGAAAACAACACAAGAAGCGTGGGAAACTGAAAAATATGATCTTAAAAGCCCAGTCCAACACAATACCACTGAAAAAGAAAACAAGAAATTCAAGAAGAAACCAGTATGGCTGCACAAAGCTCTTTCTGACAAACTGAAAGACAAAAAGGACAAGTACAAAAAATGGAAAGAGGGACACACATAAGCATGGCTGATTATCAGCAGACAGCCAGAACATGCAAAGACGAAGTCAGGAAACCAAAGGCTGAGAATGAACGAAGACTTGCAACAGAAATCAAGGACAATAAAAAAAGTTTCTTTCAACATATTAATAACAAGAAAAAAGTCAAGGGAACTGTAGGTCCACTAAAGAGAGAAGATGGCAAGGAAGTAACAAGAAGTAGGGAGAAAGAGCTGCTTAACTCATTCTTTGCATCAGTCTTCACAGAAAAAGAAATTATAGCCCAACATACCAAAAAAACTACTGCAAAAGACAAATTAGAAACGAAAATTAAAATAAGCAAGAAAATGGTAAGAGAACACCTCTCCGACCTTGACAAATATAAATCACTGGGACTCGACAGATTACATCCTGGAGTTCTGAAGGAGCTGGCAGATGTTATCTCAGAACCATTGCACCATATTTTTCAAAAATCTGGAGCACTGGGGAAGTACCTGATGACTGGAAAAGGGCTGATGTGGTTCCCATCTTCAAAAAAAACAAAAACAAAACCAGACCCAGAGAACTACAGACTAATCAGTCTAACATCAATACCTGGGAAGTTCCTGGAAAAGATAATCAAAAAACAGAATTGTGAACAACTAGAAGCAAAAAGTAATAACCAGTAGCCAGCACGGGTTTGTCAAAAACAGATCATGCCAAACCAATCTTATTTCATTCTTCGATAAAGTGACTAAATTAGTAGACCAGCGAAACGCTGTGGACATAATATACTTAGATTTCAGTAAGGCATTTGACAAAGTAGACCACAACCTGCTGCTTAGTAAGCTAGAAAAAGGTGGAATAGACAACACCACCATCAGATGGATCTGTAGCTGGCTGACAAACCGCACTCAGCGAGTAGTCTTCAATGGTACAACATCCACATGGAGAGAAGTAAGCAATGGGGCACCACAAGGCTCCGTCTTAGGCCCAGTACTCTTTAATATCTTCATTAATGACTTAGACAAGGGAATAGAAGAGGAACTCATCAAATTTGCAGATGACACTAAACTGGCAGGAAAAGCCAACACCCCAGAAGACAAGCTCAAGATCCAAAAAAATCTTGACAAACTTGAACAATGGGCCCTATCCAACAAAATGAATTTTAATGTGGAGAAAAGCAAAGTTTTACATCTAGGCAGGAAAAATCAAAGGTACAAGTGTAGATTAGGCAAGACCTGGCTCAAAAACAGTAACTGTGAGAGGGACCTTGGAGTCCTAGTGGACGATCATTTGACTATGAACCAGCAGTGTGCACCCGCCGCCAAAAAAGCTAATACAATCCTGGGTTGTATAAACGGAGGCATAGAATCAAGGTCATGCGAAGTATTAGTACTGCTTTATAAAACCCTAGTAAGACCACACCTGGAATACTGCAACCAATTTTGGTCACCATACTACAGAAAAGATGTTGAAACCTTGGAAAAAGTTCAGAGAAGAACAACTAAAATGATGAAAGGCCTGGAGACTAAAACATATAAAGAACGGCTGCAGGAATTGAGTTTGGCTAGTCTCAAGAAAAGAAGAAACAGGCGACATGATAGCAGTATTCCAGTATCTGAGGGGCTGCCACAAGGAAGAGGGGGTCACTTTGTTCACCAGAGCACCAGAGGGCAGGACAAGAAACAATGTTTGGAAACTGATCAAAGAGAGAAGCAACCTGGAATTAAGGAGAAACTTCCTAACGGTGAGGACAATTAACCAGTGGAACAGCTTGCCTCCAGAAATCGTGGGCACTCCCATCACTGGAGGTTTTTAAGAAGAGACTCGACAGCCACTTGTCTGAAATGGTATAGGTTCTCCTGCTTGAGCCGGGGGCTGGACTAGAAGACCTCCAAGGTCCCTTCCAGCTCTATTCTGTTCTGTTCTATTCCTATTTTCCCCACCATGACAACCCAGTGAGGTGGATTGGGCTGGGAGAGATTGACTTGCCCAAAGTCACCCAGCTGGCTTTCACAGCTAAAATGGGGCTAGAATTCACCATCTCCTGGTTTTCAGACCAGCACATTAACAACTACATTGTACTTCAGCCAAGAATACTCATCAATCTCCTGAACTTGAAAATATGCTTTTAGCGATAAGCTTTCCCCTCCCATGGCGGAATGGAGTAAAATCTCTGTGCTGTTCATTAATTAGGTTGCTCAATGTTTTTATCCTGTAGGAGGAAAAGTATAACATATGCGTACAGTTCTATGAGATAGACTGAGATGTGAGGATGATTGATCTAAATGAGTTTAATGACCTAAAGGAGGGAAGGAAGTCCTGTGAAGATAGATTGAAAGAATTGAAGGGGAGATATGACAGTAATCTTCAAATACCTGAATAGATGCCACACAGGAGGAGGCCAAGATTGATCTCCATTATTCAAGAGTGCAGGACACGAAGTGATGGATTTTACTGGCAAACAACAATAAAGTTTAAGTTACAGTTCCATAGTAGAGATTATCCAAGAAGGGGTTGAGTTCTCTTTTACTGGACTTGCTCAGCTTCTGTCTATATCTGTCTGTCTGTCTGTCTACCTACCTACCTCCATCCATCCATCCATCCATTCACCCTCTTTTATTATTTTTTAAAAAATAACCCAAGGCAGCCAATATATCCAACACACCTTCCTTCTCCTATTTTCCCCACATCAAAAAGCCTGTAAGGTGAACTAGGCTGAGAGTTAGTGACTGGCCCAAGGTCTCCCAGCTGGCGTTCATGGCTAAGGTTGAACTTGAACTCATGCTCTCTTGCTTTCTAGCCTGGTGCCTTAGCCACTAAACCATACTAGCTCTCATTTGTTGGGGTTGCTTTAATTTAAATTCCTGCACTTTTGCACAAGGTTGGATTCAGTGGGTTTAAACGTCGTTTCCACTCTATGATTCTTTTTCACTACGACTGCTTATTAATATCCTGGTTGAAAGCCATGAACTCTGATCTCAGAAGTTTCTAGTTAAAAATTCCAGGTTTTTGAAGTGGTGCCTTTCCCGAGATTATTCTAGATTTTTTAATCTTAGTCTTACATCTGTCATATGGTATAAGAGTAAACTAATTCATGCTAGCATTATTGAATTATAATTCAATAGTAATTGTATGGAATCACACAGATGCTTTGATCAAATGAAAACATTTGATAAATGTCAAATATTTGTTTATGGAAGAATCTTCTGCGCTTTCGTTTCTCTTAGAAGACTGGTTTACATCTTTGAGTAATGGAAGCAAATGTTCACAAAAAAAAAAAACCCCCAGCTTCTGGTTCCTGAAGCCAGGATGACCTAATATGTATCCAATTTCTGAGTTTCAGATAGTTCTTTAAATTCTTTTCATTGCTATTGTGTTGTCTTTGCATGACCTTTGTAACTGCCATTGTGCCAATACTCTTGAGAGGGGTTGGGCTAGGGTTTTTTTTTTCTGATTCCACAGGATGGGAAAGAAAAGGCTTGTTTAAAAAAATTAATCATTCTAGTTATAGAAAAGGGCTCAAGTCTGAGAATTAAAGCTGGATGCATTCCATTTGGAAAGTTGGCCCACTGGTTTGAACAGCCAAATCAATTAATCATGGGGACAAGGTTGCCAAAGGGGGAGTTTTCCCCCAGCACATGTCATCTTCAGATTAAAACTGGACTCCTTTTAAAGGCTTGTTTGAATTCAGGGTAAACGCAGGATAAATTCTGATTTTGTTGTCACAGCGGCTAGATGAATCTGTACATGCACGATAGCTTGAGTGTTTAACTTTTAACATGACACAACATAGTGGTTTAAGGTGTATTTATCAGTTAAGATACTAGGTTAATAATCAGATTACCTCCTGGTGAATTTGGAGTTTTTGGGTCTAAGCAAACTGGTTTGTTTGTTACCAGGTTATTTCAAAATGTAATAAGAGGCAGAGCAAGGAAAATAATCATGATATATTATTGAACTACTTTTTGTACGCAAAGAATCGGGTATGTTTTAACTGCAGTTCATTACATGAATTACAGTGCTGGACGTGTTGAGTGACAAATCTTGGTATACAAAGGGTGTTAGGTGTGGAAAGGAGATTGCACTGATCCACATTATGGCCTAGTATTGCTGAGGATCATTGCAATCCAGAATAGGAAACTAATTTGAGCTGTCTTAGATTGAAGAAAGGGTTTTTACAACACTTGAGAGTTAAAGTCTTGGCTCTAATCTTTGAGATGCTGAAATAACAAGCTGGGTTTGGATGAAATTCAGATGCCTAGTTGCCTACAAAGTTTGCAGGGAAGCCTTAGGCAAGCCAGTAATAACAACTGCCCAGATATATTGGATCCATTTTAGATTCTTAATTTTGTATGATCTCCTTGGTGTTAGTTGCCCATGGATATCTCCCTTACAGATCATTCTACTTAAAAAAAACCCCTCTTATTTAAATCTAAACATTTTTTAAAAGGAAACTAATGTGGTACAAACAATCAATGCTGAACATTTTTTTATTTCCCCAAATAACCTTGAGTTCCTCATAGATTCCTGGGGTATTGTTAGAGAATAAATATGGAATGTCTGTGTAGCAGAAGTACTTATTTGTAAATTTGCCCACCTGCCTAAGAAAAAAATAAACCACAGGTTGATAGTAAACAAAGAACAGGGTCACCCGTTTGCAAATTGGGCATTAGTGACCATACATTGCCCCCTCCCAATAGCCATTTAGTGAATGAGCAATTGAATGGTGATTTTCACGGAGCACCCAAAACATGCTCTCAAAATGAATGAAATCTTCTGTTACTCCCAGCCAGCATGAATAAACCAGCTTTATTTGGATGGCCCTAGTTTGGAGAAAGCCTACCTTTAAAGTTTATGTTTATTTTGAAGCTATGTTGAAACATGCTATTTCAGGCTTCCTTTGAGCTAAACTAACAACTGACTAAAATAGTAGTAGAATCACTGTTGTGACTGATGCCTCCAACAATATAAAGCTTGATTTTAACGTGGGCTTGTTGGAAAGCACACATTGCTCATACGGCTGAAGGTTATAGATAACTTTTTGAACCTGGGAAGTTCTCTGTGGTATTTTAATCACTCTTTTTTGATCTCATAGAGCCAGAAGGGGCATGCAATTAAGCAAGAATTATCGAAGTATAATATGTGTATTATTTTTGAACCTACCATCAGCAAAGCTCCCTAAGTGCTCGTATATACATAATTAAGAACAACAGTAATAACAATTATGTTAGAAAAACATATACATATATAAATGTATATCTTTTCTGTTCGGTTGCCTATTGTCCTGAAGAGTCAAGGAAAGCATCTCTGATAATGACTTTAGTCCTTGAATAGAAAAATATGGAATAACTATTGCAAAGACGTTAAGTCAAAGATGGTACCTCAGTCTAAGCTAATAAAAGGTAGTATCAGTGAGGGCATTCAGCTCTACAATTCCCCATAGGCTAAATATCTGATTCTTTAGAATACAGTCCACTCCAGGGTGAATAGTAGCTTACTGAATTAAGTATAAGTTTCCTTCTGAAACTGCAGCTTGATATATGTCAAAGCAGTATTTCCTGCCAGGTTAGCAATATATGTTTTGGCCAGGGAAACTGCTTTAGCCGCTGAGGGATCAGTCAAGAGTTTATTGAAATGACCTTTCCACTTTCCCCATTAAGGGATCATGGGATCTTAAGCATTCTGACTGTCCTCAAATAAAATATAATGGAAAGGACACAGACAGAACCTTGTGCCAATGCAAAAGAGTCTGAAGTGATAAACATCTTCACAATTTATAAAATATGGAATAAACTGTTTCATGAGTTTGTGTAGTGGGACTTTCACTTGGACTGAATAATGAGACAAATGTGTACATCTCCCAGCCATCTCACTAGTGTGTTTATTTCTTCAGTTCCTAGTGCAGCTAAAGATTATGGACTACAGCCTTCTGTTGGGTATCCATGATGTACAGCGAGCTGAACAAGAAGAAGAGGAAGACATAAAAGAGGAAGAGGAAGATGGAGAGGGTGAACCGGGGGGAATGATATCTGTGGGCTCCTATGGAACGTATCCTGAGGGCATTGGCAGTTATCTGAATTCCCACAAACCTCTGGAACCTGGTGACTTTGACCCTTATATTGATGTCTATGCCACTAAGAGTGCTGAAAGTAAGTTGGGATAAGACAAAAATTTTATTAAATGAGTGTTTAAATGGATAGAAAAGAGCCTTCAGGCCTTTTAATTTTTTTTGCAGCTGTACACCAGAATCTGCATCATGATATTTAGTAGCATTTGTGACTCTTTCTTACTATATCAAGAAATCTTTGCCTTTAATCAATTCCAGAGAACACTCCAGAGTGCAAAAGTCAGTTCTTTATTTGTCGTGTGTGATTACAGCCAGCCAGGAATATCAGAAACAGCCTTATATTGAATCAAATCATTCATCCAACTTGCCTAGGAGTAATTAACTAGCAAGGATCGAGGCTAAAAAAATTTAAGCCTTAGCTAAATATCTAATATAATCAGTACATACAATAAATTTCAAGCAATGGAATCTCCTCCTAGCTCACAATCTTGAAAGGTATACACAAAAGATAACTGAGTTACATCTGATTAAAACTGAAATGCCAGTCTAGTTTAAGCAGGGTTTTGTGAAGGAGTTCCCTTTGTTATTCCAAAATACTAGACTACTATTTCTCAAGCTGGCACCCTCCAGGTAAATTGTACTACAGCTCCTATAATTCTCAGCTGGTCTGTCAAAGGTGATGCTGAATGGGCATTTGGGGGAGTTATACTCCAGAGTTTCCAGATTGTACTAGATTAAGAAGATAAGATAACCTTTATTGTCATTTTTTTATTGTGGGCACAACGGCACACATCAAAAATGAAATTTAGTTGCCCGCTCTCAAAGTGAAACACATACATGACGCACACCTAAACATACTATGAACAACATATGAGTTATGAGTTCCACCAAATTCCATCAAACTCATAAAAGGATTCTGTTGCTATGATATCAAAGATGTATGTATGCCTTGTGGTAGATTCTAGCTGCAATATTAGGTCCTCTCAATTTTCTCAGTGCCTGTGGCTAGTTTTACAGGTAGTCCTCAACTTACGACCATTCACTTAAAAACGTGACTTATGACCGTTTTTCGCACGACTATTGTAGCATCCTTATGGTCACATGATCAAAATTCAGCCACTTGATAAGTGGCTCATACTTATGAGGGTTGCACTGTCCTGGGGTCCTCTGATCACCTTTTGTGACCTTCTGACAAGCAAAGTTAATAGGGAAGCCAGATTCACTTAACAACCGAGTTGCTAACTTAGCAACTGTAGTGATTCACATAACAACTGTGACAAGAAAAGTTGTAAAATAGGGGGAAATTCACTTAACAACTATCTTGCTAAGCAACATAAATCTGGGGCTCAACTGTGGTCGTATGTATTTAGCTATTTGTACCAGGATGATCTTTCTTCAGTGCACCAACTTTTGTAACCTCTTTATTTATGGAAGGTCACACGTCAATCAAATCTGGATATCAGCTTCTCAGAAAGAAGATAAGTTTAATAGCCAGAATTGTCTTTAATATTTTTTGTATATTGCTACAGGCTTGAATTTGCAATGCAGGCTGCACAGAAGTGAATATAAAGATGCATACATTATTAAGGTCTTAGACCAGCCTATGAACCTAAAGAAAGTGATTGCTCAAATGAAATACTCGAGCATTGGTTTGCTATATTTTGATTCAGGAAAGAAATCTCTTCTTCCTGCCTCAACTCTGTACGACCACTCTTTTTGCTTATGTATTTTCTGTGCTTGTTTGTTGTTGTCGTCATTGTTGTTCATCTTTTGGGTTTGCCTATGGATATTTGTGTGGAAGGGGGATGCAAGTAAAATATGGCATCAGATATATCCTTCACTGTTTTCTCCTGCTTTTCCAGATAGCCCCCAAAAAGAGATTTACTTCATGGGCCTCATAGACATCCTCACACAGTACGATGCCAAGAAGAAGGCTGCCCACGCAGCTAAGACAGTCAAGCATGGGGTGAGTTTGGCTTGCCATCCTGTCTGTTATGGTGATCAAACAATGGTAAAAGGGAGCCATGATCCTGATTAGCTGGCCAGCACCCAGCCTCTTGTCTTCCCTTCCCATGTCCATTATTTCTGCCTTTTTTCTGATCCAAATAGCTACTTTTTTTCTTGCTTCGCCATTACTTTCTCCTTTTGAGTGGCCAAAAGCTGTCCCGTCTCAAGCGGGTTATACTGCATCATCGCCATGTGATATAGAAGGCATAACTATGGCCTTTCCTTTTAGATAGGAGCTGTTCCAGGGTCTTGCTCTGTGCTTGGGAGCAGCAGGAATTTACAATCTCTTATTATTATGAGAGAGCAACAGAGAAGAAATCATGAACCCAACCAGTCTAGCCATTGGCAGTGCATGATGACCACCCCATGGAGTGGGGACAGGTTGAATTTGAGGTTTTGTTGTTTGAGTTATCTGAGATAACTCTTGATACATTTTGTTTTTAATCTAGCTCAGGGGTAGGCAACCTTGGCTCTTTTATGACTTGTGGACTTTAACTCCCAGAATTCCTGAGCCAGTATAGCTGGCTCAGGAATTCTGGGAGTTGAAGTCCACGAATCATAAAAGAGCCAAGGTTACCTACCCCTGAGCTAGCTTCTTAAAGAGTGGTTTTGTCCTGAAGAATACAACGGATGCGAGTTTTGTAGCTACAGTCTAGAAGCAAGGAAGGAAGTGAGGTGGAGAAAGTATGTAAGTGGCAAGAAGACCTTGCCCCCAATAGATTTTTTTAAAAATGCTATTTGCTGTGGGTGATTCATAGAAGAGTTATTTTTATTGTACCATTGGGGCAATGGCTTTTATGTTTTCTAAGTACAAGGACATTTCCTTGAGGGGAAGATGGCAAGGAGCAGATATAATGTATTCAAGAGTAGAAGCAAGACGGATGTTCCACTGGGTTAGAAATATTTGCAGTGGAGAACATGCATGCTAATAGCAGCTGATCAGTACATTTTAGTTTTAGATATATATCTGACCTTTATTTTGTACAACTCAAGGCAGTGTTCATACTGAATGCTCCTTCTTCCTGTTTTCCCCACAATAGCAAGTCTATGGAGTGGGTTGGGCTGAGAGACTGTGTCTGGCCCAAAGTTACCCAGCTGGTTTTCATGCCTAAGAGTTAGAACCTATGGCCTCCAAGGTTCTAGATTTGCACCTTAACCACTACTCCTGATTGGCTCTGATGGAAGTAGTCGTTTTGGGACTCGGGTGCTACCGTATATCCCCACTGTCTCCATTATTCGTGGCCCGTGCCATACTGCTTTCACTATAGTGATTAAGAATTAAGGGGGCTGATTTGTGGTGGTGGTTGACACTTTTTCTTCCCCTACAGGCTGGTGCAGAGATCTCTACAGTGCATCCAGAACAATACGCCAAGCGCTTTCTGGACTTTGTCACCAATATATTTGCTTAACAGTTTTTCACTAGGTCTTGTTGGCCCAAGTCAAAACCTTTTCAGCAGCTGTGTTGTTGTCACTCACCCTGCTCCCCGATTCTCCATAAGTAGGATAGTTTTCATCCTGCTATTCTGGGATCAGCAGGAGAATTGGGCTGACTTCAGATGAGTCCCACTCTCGCAACTGAGCGACGGCTGCTGAACCAAGTGCCTTAACTCTGATCTTCTGCTGAGGTGAGAAATGATCCAGAGTACCAAAGAAACTGGGTATGAATGCTTTGGGAAGCTGCTTCTCCTTCCGTGCAGGAGAAAGAGGAGTGGCTGGTTTTTATCTAAACACTGACTTCTTCCTTTCCGTTAAATAGTATCAGTGTTACATCATTTAGAGCAGGACAATGTTGAAATAGAATAATATGCAATACGTAGTCGTGCCTTGGAAGAAGGAGGTTGAAGGGAATCTTCCCCATTTACACAATCAAATATTGTATCCTATGATATCCCATTGTACTGCCTGTTTCAAAGCCATGTGCCAGTTGTATACCTTTTCTACCATCCCTCTATACACAACCTTTAATGGAAGACTGCACTGTGCCCCATTCTTGTGAATAGTTTTGCTCTGATCTAGCCCTATTGTCAATAATGGAAATCTCTCCTGCTAAAGAAAAGGGCCCAGCACTGAATCCAGTACCCCTTAAGCTCTTTTCCAGGTACAATTGCAGGTTCTTGAGATTTTGTGCCCCGTATGTTGCTGTTAATGAGAAAAATTCTTTTAGGCTCATTGCTGTCTTGCATCCTTTTCCCTTCCCTTTTCTAGCTGAGAATAAGAGTTGAAGCAGGGTTTGTACCTGCTAAATAAATTTGGAGTAAATTCCTGAATAATAATAGCACTATCATCTGAATCCCTGTTCTACATAACTGTGGAGCTTTTCTGTGTCTCCCTTGTCAGAGGGAGATTGGCAGAAGGACACAATAACTCTAATCTTTGGGGTATACAGGGGTGTCTATTGGCCACACACCTCAGACTGAGTGGGCGTAACCCACAAAAGGGCCTAAGGTAGATCTAGGCTACCCATGATTTACCACAGTATATTAAATTTGAAAGCTGCTGAGAAATGCTAAGGATGAAAGTCCTCGCCATTTAGATCGTAAAGCTTTAACATTAAAATTAAAGCAAGCTTCAGATGTTGGTGAACCGCCAGCAGCATCAATACCATGACCAATAAGAGTAGGGATTGTTGAGAGTTCAGCAACATATAGAGAGCCCCTGCCTCCCTATCCAATCATAAACACCTCCATTTTGAAGTGGGAATCAGACCAAGCCTCATTTATCACGCCCAGCTTCAGGATGCTATGAGAAGCAGCATCTGTCTGCCTGTGCATAATGGCTCAATATGTTCTATATATCAAATTGGCAAACCAGTGTATTTTGAGAAAATGACCTGTCTCAGTGGTTGGTCAAAAAGCCTCTTAAGTGAAGGAGGAAACTGCTATAAACTAGCAGAAGCATTAAAAAAAATATTCCTTTTCATTCACCAGAATGGGAACTCTTGGAGATAGTTCATTTAGCAAAGCAAGGAATGCAGACAAGGAATTGGATAAATTAAATGATATTTCCTCTAGTGCAATGAAGAATGCAGACAGACAAGGAACTGGATAAATTAAAAAATCATTACTCATTTATTGTTGGCTTGGTTAAGAGATCTCGCATTCTCTAGTAGCTGTCCTAGCAGCATGGGGAAGCGGTCACACTCCAACTGTCTCTGAACTATAATTCCCAATAACTCCAGCCCTCTATGAGCATTTATGAGGAATACTGGGAATTACAGTTCAGCAAAATCAAGGTCCAGTATTACCTATCTGGCGATGGTTCAGGGTACAGTGCTACTCAGTTTGCTGCTCTGGACCTGAAACACGGAGGCTACTTGATGGTTTTTCATGTTTTCCCCTTCTGCCCATTAGTGGTGTGCTGGGACTGATATCATTTCAGCTCCCAGTACACTAAAGGCTGTGCCATGGAGATACATTTATGCTGTGGGGTTGTCTTCCTTCCAGCCTCTTTCAGTGTTTTGTAATTGTATACAATGTGTATTTCTGGTTTACTCTTGTATGGCTAAAAATAAATTATTGAACCAAAAGTTGTCTGTATGAAGTGCCCAGCTGTGCTGTTGTATTCTGCTAACCTAGCAGGGTAGAAGGATGAACTCTTGTGTTTGAAAGAATAAAAGACTTTCCTCGGCCCTTCACAGCTTTTTGAATTGAAATTATTATGTCAATTATTTTTACTTATAACATTTCTGAACTTTCGGGGGGGGGGGAATTATCCAAGCTTCGGGGGGGGGGGGAATCAGACAAGAATGTTATGATTTTGGCCAGATGAACCAGGGTTACTTTGAAACAAAGCTGTAGACATTATGTCTTGTCTGGTTTGCCCCCTTCACTAGCAGGAGATCTTGTTCCTAGCTGGCTTGATTTATAAAGAAGATGACAGCAATTTGGCAGGATTCATGCTCCTTAATTGCTTGTTTAATTATCCAAGTTTCACCATTCCTATAGAAACTGATCAGGAGCCAGACGTGAGTTCTATCCTTAACCAAGACTGCACACAAAAAGAATTTCCAATCCTTACCTGTCTACTACCGGTAGTATTATTTCTACAGTTGAGTGTCAAGACAGTCTCTGTATCTAAAAGGATTAAGATCATTTCAATTCATTGATCTTTTGAGATGCAAAAGATTCCTAAGTTGGATAGCTATTATTATTATGTGTGGATAATTTGCGGTTAGAGTCACAGTTAAGACTGGTGAAAACTTAAAAATTCAAGTCTCAATCAAGGACCTAGAATGATTAGGGTAGCGCCTAAGAATCTGCAGTGTCAAGCAGGGTGGCTTTTGGTAAAAAGTAGGGTGTTCAAGTCTGATAAATTCAATATATCTATATACTGTATCGAGGGAGTTCTTTAGGTATTGTTCTGAGGGCTCCAATCATGATTGGTATAAGAATGGATTTCTTTTTCCACAGGTATTCAATCTAACTTCAATCTGCAAGTCCCAATATTTTATAATTTCTTTCCAACTGTTTTCCCTCAATCCAAGCATCACCTGGTATAGCAATGTCAACAAAGCAGACTTTCTTTTCATTAACTGTTATATCAAGCAGATTATCAA